ATGGATTCTTTATGTCTGCTGTCTGTATGCTCAACAGAAATCCTTAAATGCTAACATAAAATACACCTCAATCTACCTTTCCTACTGCGCTTATTAATGTATATCACAACCTTTACAATTCAATAGATTTTTACTGATAAGCCATTTAAGGAAGGGGAAAATTTAGACCTCCAAGGATCAAAAGCCCTCCTCCTAAAAAGCATGCCCTAAGTATGTGGTAGCAGACTTGTTTGATTTTCTACACTCCTCCTACAAAAACTGGTTTTTCAAGGACACCTGAGAGAGGGAGAAACATCATCAGCTACAATAAGGGAAAACTTTGCACCCTTCATTCAGTTTTATATGGAAAAGCATGGAATTTAGCTTAAAAAAGAAGTGATTGTATAGCTTCTGATGTTTTTGAAAACATTCTACTCATGGTCTAGAATTTAATATGGCAATAACAGACTGTTTCATTGAGACATCTGTAGACCATCAAAATACAATATGCCATAGATAGAAGTAAAATATTAATTTTTGATGTTACTTTATTGGTTCAGCCAACACAAACTAACAGGATTTCAAAAGGAAACTAAGTCAATTAAGTGCCATACCACTACCCCAACAGTTTTAGTGAGATAACAAGAGGTGCACCTTCACAGTCGTATCAATATAGGGATCCTCATCACGAGCTGCTGCTGCACTGCATCGCACTGTGAAACACTGCAGGTTCTCACTGGAGGGAAATATGAAAATGCAAAACTGAAGGAAAGAAATTAAGACTTGCAAAAATCAAGTAGCCAAGACTACAGAGAATCAGCTCTTTTTCCTTTGAAGGGCTTTGAAGCCTAAGCAGGAGGGCCCACTGGACTAACATATAAGTCTGCCCAGAGATTTCCAGACTATGAAGGATGTATCAGAGGGGAAAAAAAAAAAGGGCAGCAGCATAGAGAAACATAGTAATAGTATCAGCAAAATCATAAACTTAGTACCTTGTAATGACGTGCAGGAACTGTGGAGTAAGGACTGCCTGCTCTGACTTCTCTGAATACTGATAAGTAGAAATTACTTCTACTACCTTCCCAATAGAGTAGAGATATCCAACATGAGGTAAAGAGAAAAAGCAAAAGAGACTCAGTAGTTCTCTCTTGTTCTCAGTTTCCTCATAGGCTGTCAAAGAGCTTCCTAGATGTAACAATAAGAAAGACATTTTATATTCTTCATAAATCCAAACCTGGCAATTCCATTGCAAGCCTGATGCCTAAAAGATACTATCAAACCTGCCCAAGTTGCAGACTGGTTTTGTTAGTAGCTAGTAAAAAGAACTATATGAAGTTATTAGAGAGAGACCAAGGGAGGGCCACTAAGATGGTGAAAGGCCTGGAGGGGAAGCCATACGAGGAGTCGCTGAGGTTACTTGCTTTGTTCAGCCTGGAGGAGTCTGATGGGAGACCTAATAGCAGTCTACATGCAGTTCCTAAGGGAATGGCCTGAAATTGTGTCTGGGGAGGTTCAGGTCGGACATCAGGCAAAGGTTCTTCCCCCAGAGGATGGATGGGCACTGACCAGGCTCCCCAGGGCAGTGGGCACAGCCCCAAGCCTGCCAGAGCTCAAGGAGTGGTTGGACAACACTCTCAGGGACAAGGTGGGATTGCTGGGGTGTCTGTGCAGGGCCAGGAGCTGGATTCAGTGATCCCCGTGGGTCCCTTCCAACTTCGCATATTCTATGATTCTACCTGACTGCTAACATACAGCATTAAATTCTTCCATGGGTCTTTTGGGGCTTGAGCTAGTGAACCCCTAAAATTTGCATTCATCCCTTCCCTTTCAATTAAAGCCTGTCAGAAAGGTAACCTGTATCTTAGTGATTATTAAGGTTTACTACCCTGATTTCCTCTGTGGGCTAAGTAGCAGTCTAGTACCTTAAAACACTGAGGATAATTTTATTAATGCAATGTAAAGAGTGACTGTTTTGCAACACAAAATTAATCAGTAGAGAACTGATAAATGTTGATTTAGTCTTCCTCTTTTGGTGTGATGAATTGGTATTTTAGTTCAAGGTTTATGTGGAACTTGGAGAAATTTAAAGACTTTTTTTTAACAGAAGCTCAGTTTAAATCATGGAAAAGGGAGGAAAGATCGGAATTTGAAAAACAAATCATACAGAAACAGTGTACAAAAAAGGATATACAACGAAGCTCCTTCCTTTCACAGTCTCCTATGATACAGCCCATTGTGCCTTCCCACGTAGCCATTTACCTGTCTGATATACAGGGAGCAGTTGAACAGAATGCAACTTTGTCTCTTCACAAAACCCAAACGGCGACTGGTCGGGTGTAAAACGTCTAGAGAAAAAAATCCAAAACAACAACACGGGACCACAGTGAGAGATTGTGATGATCTACTTTGGACAAGTAAACGGCACTGGTTAGAACAGGCACAGCTCATGTTTTAACACTCAACAACAATTCACAATCCTACTAGCAATGCCATTAGCATAGCAATGCCAAGAAGCACAGGGCACAGCTAGATACAACTATCTTGAGCTCCTGCAACCAGAATCCTCTTTCTTTGCTTGTCTGCAAGATGCATGTCAAAGTCTGAGATCACTGGAAGACATGTTGCAATTGATTTGGACCTCAATTTAATGTTTTTTTCCCCCTCTCTTTTCATTCCACTGAGCTGTATGTAACATCATGTCACCTCCAATCCTACTTTTCTTTCCTATTATGTGTCATCCTTTTCCCTGCTTTGCTTTGGAATTCCCTGCTGAACTGTGACATCAATTCTTCCTCGGTCTTTGATAAAAACGTTGATAGAAGAGGAAGATTAAATCAGCTTCCTGAGAAGGAGACCTGGAGAGGGAGATGCTGAGCTCTTCTCCCTGGGATAGGACACCTGGGAAGGGCTCCAAGCTGTGCCAGGGCAGTTTCAGGCTTGACATGAGGAAGCATTTTCTTACCAAGAGAGTGGTGAAACACTGGAACAGGCTTCCTACAGAGGTGGTCAATGCTCCAGGCCTGTGATTGTTTAAGAGGCATTTGGACTGTGCCTTTAGTACTATGCTTTACCAGTAGCTCAGCTCAGAAGTGGTCAGGCAGTTGGACTAGATGATTGTTGCAGATCCCTTCTAAGTGAAATATTCCAATATATTTAAAAAAGGGCTTTCTTTGGTATCCCATTATTTCCTCAGTTCAAAAGAAACCCTAACCCTTATAAAAACCCCAAAAGTCAAAATACCAGTTTTCTTTCAAAAAGACATAATCCACAACTCATTTTGGTTTCTTGTAGTAAATTAACCCATAAAGGGGAAAATACATTTGTAATACCTGAAAAGCAGATACCGCACTTGGAAGCACTTTGTGTCTTCAGTAGGTAACTCTGTGGATTCCAGTGTGATGGGTATCTCACATAGCTTACTTTCTTCCCCAAGCAGTTCCACTGGCTTCTGACATATGATGAACTCATCTAATTCAAGCTGCAAAGTATGTGTTGAAGGGCTTTCATCTTTCACACCTGAACAATGAAAATGTTATCATAATTGTTCAAACCATTCCATTCAGCAGTAAGAAACTGGTATGACACAGTATCAATTAAATACTCCAATTACAGCTACTTAGCTAGCGTTTGCTTCCTCAAACCATGAGATTTTGAAAACAGCCATGCTAGAAGACAAGAACAATTCCTTAATTGCCTCAGCAGTCTGAATACCTAGCAGTCAAGATTTTTGAAAAAAACCCTCATGTAAACTGTTCATTAGAAAGCAAGTCCAAAGCAACATGTGCTGCAAATGATTGGTCATTAAAAAATGTTGTCTTTTGGCTGGAGAGGTTTTGAGAAGGAAAAGGCAGCAATCACAGAAAGTTGTGTTCTCTTAAACTCACTTAAGTTCTGGAAAGCAAATCCTAACAACACTCAGAGAGAAACTGGAACTTTTCTATCTAGTTTTTAGTAATAAAAACAACTAGGGGCAGAATGCCATGATCTGAGAAAAGATCCATCTTCACTCAGTGAAGAACATTCCATTTATATTTTCCCTGTGACAAGTCTTATTTACCTTTTAATCTTATTGTAGGTGCAGTTTCCATTTCTAAAAGACCATCCTTCTAAGTTTCTTTACTTATAAGCGAAGGACTTTCCTGAAGTTTGTTGGTGTTCACCTGATATGTAAACTTTTGGAAAGGTGGGAACTGACAATTGATTACATATGGATTGATTTCTTGCAATATACAGGAATGAAACCTACTGAGTACATCTATTTCTGGGATTTCTAGGATTTTAAGGCAAGCCCCCGAATAAGAAAAAGGACTGAAACAGGAGAATTTGCTTGATTATGCAGGTTCTGAGCCTACTAACAGTTACAAAAGTACACAGGCATCGCCACAGAAACACTCTCAAATGTGTAAGCCAGTTATTTAGGCAGTGACACTGACAGAATAATTTTTCTGAACATAGCAAACTGAACTACTACCACTTTAGTTTGGCCCATGGTAGCATGCTGAAACGGGGACCTAATTCTCTATCTATAGAGGATGCACTATCCTGAAAGTGTGCAGAATGATGGCATATTCATTTGAATTGTTACCTCCAACTGCAGGTTGGTACAACTTTTCATGCCTTAGAACATTCAGCTGACAGTCATAGGATGATCTAGAAATATGTGCTGAAGGGCAAAGACCTTGTTTGAGCCTACTTTCAGAATAACAGGAATCAGCGAGCAGATTCTTAAAGATACAAAAAAAAAATTATTTCTGCACTTACCTCCATCCACAGTCTTTTCTGGTGCACTGACTCCCTGAGCACATTGCTCTGTCCTGTCTGCACTTTGCTGGACCAGTTCCAGTTTCAGGATTAGAACGTCCAGCTCTGTTGTTATGGCTATATGTCTGGCACAAAATGCAACTTCAGCAGGAATGAGATTATCAATGTGCAAAATTAAGGAGCGTTCAAAATCTAACACAGTCAAATTCTGGTTTATGACCAGGTATTTCAAACAGAATATGACTAGTTTATTCTTGCAGCCCACAAGAAGATCTCCATTTATGGGACAACATGAAATGCACAGTGGAGGGTCTGAAAGCGGCATTTCAACAACTGACATCTGTTCTTTCAAGGTTTCACTGTATGACTCTTCCATCTTGTGACCAACCATCCGAACACACACACGAGAGCTCCCTGCAGACATACATCTCCAGTTCGTATATGCTCTTAGGAAAGTTGCTTTGCTTTTTTCTTCAATTGTCACCAGATAGTCTCCTTAAAAGAAAACAGTGATACTGATATATCATTACAGAACAGATGACAATTTTTGAGCTCTTTACCTTCTGTAGTTCATTACAAAGAACATCTTAAAGTCTCAACTCATACATAAAATTCCAAAACCAGTTTTCACCAATTTTCCTCTAAATTAAATACAGAGTGCAACTTTTTTTGCTGGGTGGCACACACTTAACATACCATTAAAAAAAAGGACTTATACATCTAGAATAACTCGTAAGTGAATCCACTATATGAGTTGTATTTGCAGACCAAGCCCCCCTGCTCCCCCCCACCCCAGCCTGCGTCCCCAGTGCCGTTTTGTTCTCTACAGACCAGGGACAGCAATAGACTAACAGATTCCTGAAGAGCTGTGGGATTGGCTGGAACGACCACCCGCCCCGTGCTCTGAAAACAAAATCCCAATAAAACAAAAGCAGGGGAGGCAGCACTGACCCTACCCTGGGCGGACGCAGACGGCAAACAAAGGGAGACGCGGCCCGCGCCCTCCCCACTGGCCCCCGGCCCGGCCCGCTCCAGCCGCCGCGCCCGAGCCCACCCCGGGCGGGAGCGCCAGGCCCTCCTCCCACGGCGGGACCCGAGCCGCTCGCCGGCCCCCGCTCCCGGCCTCGCTCCCCCCCCGCCCGGTGGAGTCTCAGGGCCTCTTCCCGCACTCGAGCCGGACACGTCCCGGCCTCCCCAGTCACGCACCGCCGGAGCCGGCGGCCGCCGGGACTGACCTGCCGAGCTGTGCGCCATGCGCAGCACGGGCCCCAGGGTGGCGAAGGAGCCCAGGGGCTCGCAGCGGCCCTGGTCGCGCACGGCGAACACCTCTACCCTGCAGCTGGCCGCCGTGCTGGCCACGAACAGCACGTCCTGGCCGCAGCAGAAGTGCGCCGGCTCCTGCTTACAGGGCACTACTCGCTGCGACCCGAACGGGTGCAAGTTGTAAAGCTGCACCATGGTCCCGCAGCAGCGGAGTGCGGCCCCGGAGGCCTCTCGGGGCGGCGCCTGCACTTCCGCGGCGGCAGAGCGGGCAGAGCCACCTCCCCCGGCGGGCTGCGGGGCCCGGCTCCGCCGGCAGCGTGCGGCCGCCCCGGGGCAGGTGGCCTGGCACGAGGGTCTCCGTGGCCTTAGTCTGGCTCCGTTGCTGTATGAGCACTCCCGGGCATGCTCTGCCATAGCAGAGCAGCGCCGTGCACTGCGGGAACTCCCGACCGGGAGGGTAAGTTGGAAGCGATCATTGAGGTGAGACGGGACTGGGAACGGTGGCTCAGGAGTTGTTTGGGTCGGAGGTGCGTGTGCGAAGCGGATTTGCCATGGGCGTGGCTCGGAGCAGCTGCCGCCGACGAGCAGCGAGCGTAACCTCCCAGGCTGCTGACACCTGGCATCTTGCAGTCTCCCAGATACAAACACAAATATTTTTTGTATTTAAATGCAGTTCCTTCTTCATAACTCCACACGCTCTGCATACACTGCATGCTCCACGGATACTAGTTACAAATACTTCTGAAAAAAAGAAATCACTTCTGGTATCTTTAGTATGTGTTGCCCCTTTTCTCTTTCCTGGTTTTATAGAACATGTAGGCAAGAAAAAAAACAACCAAATGTACAACCCACACCCAAAGCAACAAAACCCCCCAAACAAAACTTAGTTTTGTCTCAGTTTCCAGATTCAGGACCAAAGAAAGTGTATTTCACAGAATATCCTGAGTTGGAAGGGACCCATAAGGATCCAGTCTAACTGTTAAGTAAATGGCCTGTACGGGGATCAAACCCATGATCTTGGTGTTACTGGGACCATGCTCTCACCAAGTGGGTCAGTGGTTTTTCACAAGCCAAGTGCCCTATAATGAACTGCTTCCACATGTCACTAAAGCTCTATTCATTTGTAAAGGACATTAGATTTTTTTTTTACTGGGTGAACGTAGGAATGTGAAAATTACAACACACTTTTAAAGCAGGTAACAGATCTGCTACCAAAACCTGTAATCTCAAATGGTCCTTCCTTAGCGAATACACACATTAATTAAGTGAAGAAGAAAAAACAGAGATGGTAGAATCTTTAAAACTTTATTTGAAAACACATTTGAAAACTTTATTTAAAAACAAACAAGTGAACAGGGTTATGCAATTCTTTTTTTTTTTGGTAAATAAATTTTTCCAGGCTTTAGCTTTCTCAATATTCATCTCCTTCTTCAGCCTCTGCTTCTACTGAGTCTAGGCCAACTTCTTCATAATCTTTCTCAAGGGCAGCCAGATCTTCCCGGGCTTCAGAAAATTCTCCTTCCTCCATCCCTTCCCCAACATACCAATGCACAAAGGCACGCTTAGTATACATGAGATCAAATTTGTGGTCGAGCCGAGCCCATGCTTCAGCAATAGCAGTTGTGTTACTCAGCATACACACAGCCCGCTGCACCTTGGCAAGGTCAGCCCCTGGCACCACAGTTGGAGGCTGATAGTTAATGCCCACCTTTAAGACAACAAATAAAAACTTTCCTTAGGAGCGCTAAGGTTTAAAGGCTCATTTCTGTTAACAATCAAAAATCACCGTAGTTACAATTAAATTAAATAGCTTATAGTTATTCTGGACTTTATCAAAATATTTAACAGGGACATTACAATATTTTAGCGTGACTGTTATCTCTGAGAACTACACAATTCCTAATCATTCAGATATCGAGCACTTAAAAAGCTACATACCTTGAATCCAGTTGGGCACCAATCCACAAACTGAATGGTACGTTTAGTCTTGATAGTGGCAATGGCTGCATTGACATCCTTGGGCACGACATCGCCTCTGTATAACATGCAGCAGGCCATGTACTTGCCATGGCGAGGGTCACATTTCACCATCTGGTTGGCTGGTTCAAAGCAAGAGTGGGTAATTTCAGCCACAGATAACTGCTCATGATATGCTTTTTCAGCAGAGATGATGGGGGCATATGTTACCAAGGGGAAATGGATTCGTGGGTATGGAACCAGGTTAGTTTGAAATTCTGTCAGATCTACATTAAGGGCTCCATCAAAACGCAGCGAGGCTGTGATGGATGAAACAATTTGCCCAATTAATCGGTTTAAATTTGTGTAAGTAGGACGGCCAATGTCCAGGTTACGACGACATATATCATAAATGGCTTCATTATCTACCATGAAGGCACAGTCTGAATGCTCTAATGTTGTGTGGGTAGTTAGAATTGAGTTGTAGGGTTCCACTACAGCAGTGGAAACTTGTGGTGCTGGATAAATTGCAAACTCCAGTTTAGATTTCTTGCCATAGTCAACAGAGAGCCTTTCCATAAGCAGTGAAGCAAACCCTGAACCAGTGCCTCCTCCAAAACTATGAAAGATAAGGAAACCTTGCAGCCCTGTGCATAGATCAGCCTATAATGGAGTGGAAAAAAAAGGGAGAAAAAAACCAGTTAGTGATGGTTTTGGAGAAATCAGTATTAAAATAATAATTCAAAAGCATTTGTCATAAGTTTGTTAGTTTGACATTGTTATAATAAAAAACCCAGCTTTCTTGAAAGGTCCTGGTTTAACTGGCTGAATTTTTATTTAAGGGGGGGGGTGGGACAGGCAAGGAAATAAAAGGTTTATTGCGTTTTGTTTTAAACAATTAAGTATGCACAAAATTCTTAGTGAAAAAAAAACCAGAAAACCATCAATATAGATAGCTATAGAGCTGTATCAATTATTTTAAATACTAGCTTGCAGCATGAATTCTTACCAGTTTGCGAATGCGGTCTAGCACTAGATCAACAATCTCTTTTCCAATGGTATAATGGCCTCTGGCATAATTATTGGCTGCATCTTCTTTCCCAGTAATGAGCTGCTCAGGATGGAATAACTGCCTGTATGTGCCTGTACGTACTTCATCTACAAAAAACCCCAAAACACCACATCATAAATTTGATCTGTTCAGTTCTGTGTGTGCTGCCTAGTGACAACACACTAAGCACGTGTCAAAAGAGTGCAGACAGCATCTCTGACTATGCACAGCTTGTCTGACTAGTCTAAGCAGTTGGCTCAACTTCAGCCACTTTTTTTAGGGGTAAACATCAAGCACACACAAAGCAGTATTTGTACTTGAGGAACACAGAGGTCACTCAGAAAACTACATTACAGGTACAGACAAGGTACTGGACAACAGTCAAACAGAACTCTGGATGCAGTGCAGCAGTCTGGAAAGATTATCCAGATCATAGAAAAGTTCTATCATTTTCCAAATAGGTACCTGTAGGCCAGTATTTAATTTCTTTCAAATAACAATAACCTCAAATGTCAAAACAGCATCCAGACACACATCTTTTAAAATCTATAGTGTTCTTAACAGACAAAAAAAGACAGTAGGGAATCCATAAAGGATCCTGACTTTTTCACTGAAGACCTTTAATGCTGGGTACGTACCAACTACGGTTGGCTCTAGGTCCACAAACACTGCTCTCGGAACATGTTTACCAGCTCCTGTCTCACTGAAGAAAGTGTTAAATGAATCATCTCCACGTCCCATAGTATTATCACTAGGCACTTGACCATCAGGCTGGATCCCATGTTCAAGACAATACAATTCCCAACATGCATTGCCAATCTGAACACCAGCCTGACCAACGTGGATGGATATGCATTCACGCTGCGAAGTTAAAACACAACAATAATAAGACATGGAGTTACCTGCTTTTAGATTTTATTCTCATTATAACTACCTATCTGTGGGTTGTATTTTTCCATGATCTTTCTCTGCTGCAATATTCCCTGGTTTCTCTTGAGTGACAATTTAAGAGAACACATATTGTCTGTTGCTAGCAAGACACTACTCACCTTAGCTGACCTGCACTGACTTTGAGAATATTGGAAGATTCTAAAGGCAACCT